AGGATTAGCGTCACCGCAAGCTCATAAATACAAATGTTGTCACATTTGATAGCATCCCTATTGCACAACTATGGTATGCTTGAATACGTTACTTTTAGACCGTACATTATTTTAAAAAAGCAAATATATGGCCGTCCATAAAATACAGACTTTTTTTTATTTTATTAAAGAGGGTTTTTACACACGTGGGTAAATATCACCCTCATTGTACAAACTTAGTTACATAAACACTTAAACAAAAAAAAAATTAACGCCTGCTTAACTTAGCAAAACAATTTTGAACAATATTAGTGTGAACAATATAGTGTTCTAGCATCTCCAGAAGTTGGAAAAGCTAATACACTATTACATAAACCAACATCTAATCTATTATATAATGTTTTAGACATGAATTCACACTCACACTCAACCCAAAATACTGACTTCAATTAAAATCAGAAATATTTTAGGCCATTAGGCATGATGCAGAAATATTGTTCTTGTTAATAAATCACATTTAAGTCACTTAACTGTGTATACAAGTAGTAAGGGATGTGGTTTATCAAAAAATGTATTATGTACTTTTTGGAAAAAAAATAAAGTTGAGGCATTCTTTACGACGTTGTCGTTTAAATGCAAAAAGCGCAATGTTTTTTATGGACGGCTTACTAAACAAGGTTTGATATCTGCGAAATATATTCTAGGGTTGTAAGTATTAAGAAATATTCTCTCCGTGTTTTAAATATTCTATTGAAATTCCCATGTAGTGAATGTATTCTAAATATTTGGGCATGTTAATGGCGATTCGAAGTGTCCGATTCACAATAAAAAGACGGTAAATGAAAAAATGCTAAAAAGGAAGACGAACATTTTCTAATTTGAATTCTTATTTATTGTGGTCCTCTACTATTTACATTGTTTAAAATTGCGAAACTTTATTACTTCCTGTTAAAATACTTGTGACAATGTTTGTCTATGATATCTAGTGTTAACATGCTAAATATTCCGGTTTGGAATTTTTATTTTTTCCTATTTATTGAATTCGCTTTTATTACTTCCAGCAATCGACTTCCGTCGGAAGTTGTTCTACCCAACTTAAAAATTGGTCTGGTCAACAATTTCTTTGCTCAATTGACATTGTTAATTGATGCACCTTAGGTTACTTTTGCAAGTAATGTATCAATTGATGCATATCTAAGATTCTATAAAAATATTAAGACTCTACGGGGTTAAAATCACAGAGATTAGTTTTATTGAACTTTCTAGTAATACTACGATTTAAGTATATCGTTGTAGGATTTCTTTTTGTATGTTGTATATTTTAAAAATTAATTTAAAGATATCGATGCATATCGCTTACAATGAAAAACTGTGGTCGAAGTTCTGTAACGGACAAGTAACTACTACGCAGTAACAAATGTGCTTAAAAATTAGGTGCACGCAGCCTTACGATCTGGAGATCAACAATTCGTAAATAACAAACAACAACGCAAATCTGAATTATGTAAAGTTTTCTCCACGACACGCAAGCAATAGGTGAATAGAGTCTAACGTAACACACTACAGCTATTATTTTTTTAAATAAATCTTTTTAACGAAGATATTGAAAGGAATTATTGTCACTAATTAATTTATTTATTCACAAAGGACATACTATTTACACGACATTCGATATAATTGACGACTATTTTCGTTTCAAGTGTTTATAATATCGACCTTACGCGGCAATAAAATAACCACGGAACCAAAATAGTGACTTAATTGTTTTTATTGCTCGCCCTAATTACAATGCTATAGCGATATTTCAAATTAAAAAAAACAAGAAGACGATTTCACAAACAAAAAATCAAAATCATTGTTATAACTAGGCGTCACTTTATTAGGGACTTTCAAGGGTATATATTTTTAAAATTTATTAATATTTTTTCTACGGCAACACCTACGTTTCTTATAACATTTAAATAAGCTTGGACATCTATTTAATTGACAAATATACATGTTAATTAAATCTTATTAAGTACAAGTAAATTAAGGTTAACATGATCATTTTATACAGATTATCATAAGCATAGAACTTTAAATCATATTAACTATTGATTTAAAAGTTGTGAGCACACTCCGAGCTATGTTTGGAGTTAAATTGTTCTACATTTATATGGTTAATATTCATTAATTCAGCCCATAACATAATCTTTACATATTAAATTCTATGCATTCTTTTTCACTTACTATTTCGCAATTGCTATTTATTTTCATTTACACACGATACAATTATGCAATCCGCGTATATTGTATTATTAAGTATATTCATATAATGTATGTGATGGAAATAAAAATCATAATTTTTTTACGATGATTGCGTATCATATGTCGTAATATAAATAAGTAAGTAATGTAAGTTGCAATAAAATGACGCCTATTAAGGAGCAACACTTAAGTAAATGCATATGCACTAAAATAAAGAACAAATTTAATCTTATTTATTATATATCATTATAAACAAGATACGGTCACATCAAAGGTCAGAGTTAAATGGAATACCTTTTACTTTGACACGTATTTATTTGAACATATTATTTTTTTATTACATTTTATTTATTTTTACTATTTGCGGTGGAAGAAAAAATATTATTCTATTTTGAAATAGATAAATCTTATAATTATGTCTGCGGCGTACAAATCCTGAATATGAACATAACGTTGCCAAAATTTTCGATTAGCTATTAATTTTTTTCTTTTTTTTAATTCATTAATTTAATGTCACTACGTTGTAAATGAAAACTGTTCGGTTTGTTGATCTTTTAAATTTTGTATCAAATTTAATTCGTACATATCTCGATGTCTGTTGAAGTCACATTTACCTGTTTTAGTATAATCCATTAATTTTTGTGCATAAATATATCGGGCTATGTTTAGGGTATTTACAAGTACCTATGCGATAAATTATAATTGTTGAATAGAAATATTTCTTTTACAATATAACATTTAAAAAATATGGTGCCTTACATGTTTTACTAAAAACGAACTTCTATTCAAATAAAATCTTTTTGGACACATTTTTTTAAACACACACCTTGGTATAATGAAAACTCCAGACGTTGAAAAAAGGAAACAATTACATAATCGCACTAAAATAAACATAAAACGAAAAAGTTTTGAGTAATGAAATTCAGTGATTTTGCAATTTAATAAGGAAAAAATTGGTATAATGTTGAGGGCGTATTGGACATTGTTTGACATTGGCCTGTCCAGCATTGAAAAAAATAATAATAAATGATTATTTTCCACATTTTCTATTTACCTTTGACAGTTGGAAAAGCCGATGCCTTTTTTTACTTGTATTCTTTTTATAAATATAACGAAAACAGACCAATACAATGACTAGTATGAGTAGCATTACTCATAAGCATCTATGGAGTAATTTTATTTATTTATTTAAATACAATAAAATATTAATCTAAACTAAGCATTATATTTAACAATTATATCGATGTTTTGAAAATCATAAGATTTAAGTACGTTTCTGAACGGCTAGTTTCAATTAACTGTATAAATTAATTTGATTGAATTTTTAAACTACGGAAAATAAGATTTGGCTTAAAGTTCTTTTTACCAGGCCATAAAATCTTTATTAAAAAAAAAAAAAAAGTATGCTATTTTGGAACGCTGAAACTGAATAATTCTACTTAAGTTTTAAAATAAACCGTATATACAAAAACATAATTATATACTTACATTTAAATATTCTCTTTTAAATTTACTAATGAGATCTTAATGGGAAGAAAATAAAAATTATAATGCTACATTTAACACCTTAAACTAATAAAAGCATATTAATTAACTTTAGTCACTTGCGAGGAAGTTGGAAGAAAGACATTTTCGATACGGACATTAACTCCGCAGCGAAAATGATATATTGAGGTTATTTTGGGTAGATTTGTAGGATTAAAAAGCATTTCAATTGACCTACAATGACTCCATATCGACGTGAAGCGATGAACAAATTTTCGCAATGGACTTTAAATTCGGGAATTACTGTAAAACATTAGATTTATCTGATTAATTTTATCTGATGAAACAAAGATATTAAGTAGGGTTGCTTATAAATGTTATTGAATTTAATTTTATTTCGAGTTTCACTGTGCAAGGTCAAACAAGTGTACCTTTCGAAATATCATATCGGGATAAATAAATAGAGGTTTAAAGAAAATAAGAAGCCTCCTATTTAGGGGTTGCTAATTGGGTTCGTTTGGGATTTTAATGATTGCACTCAAATTGAATTGAGTATTAGTGTTTTTAAAGCATAAATATGATAATGTGTATTTATAGGCCGCGTCAAAATTAATGGCTGAAGAGAAGTGAGGTGCGCGTTCGTCAACTTGAACATATCGCGGGTAAATAATATTAATATCCGATAATCAACATTAACTAACCGTATTTTATTAAAAAAGAAAGACTATTTAATTTTAAGAATATGTTAGTAACAAGAATTATTTTAATAATATGTCAAATATTTTGCGATGACAATATTTTGTTAATACAATGTTGCTAAATTGGCTGTGATGGAAGAAATTTATTAAAGAACATTTTTCATATTTTCCAACGAAATGTAAAAACCATCCACTATAACAATTTGGAGACCTGTACTTCAGCAGTGGTGTAAGAATGTGTGTAGCGTAACAATGCACCGCGCACACAGGCATACAAATACTAAGTAAGTCTTAGGGAGCGTGCGCGACACAAAGGATTAGCGGGCGAATCTCGCGCATACATAATATTCACTACTGCGCAGCGCTCTAGCCCTAACTGTACTGTTACCTCTGTAGGTAAGCTGCAAATTTGGCGCGACCTATACGCGCAGATTATATTAAAATATATGTAATTAAAGGTATATATCAATGTGCCTTTGCTAAAACGATAAATTTAAACGCGACATAGCCCGTTATGTGAAGTCAGTACAGTCAGCCGAAAGATGGGTGATGATTGAAAACGGAGACCGGTGACGATTGAGCGGTGGCTTAATAGGAGGATTCGCAATCGGGCAGGTGGATGTTGCCGAACACGTTCAGCTCGTACAGGCTCGCGAGGGTGATGAAGAGGAGGTACCAGATCATCAGCACCACGCCGTACTTGCGGTCCAGTTTCCAGCCGTTCGCGTGGGTCGCCACCACCAGGAAGATCACGGTGGAGAACAGCGATAGCGTTGAGTAAATCAGGCCTGGAATACACAAATATAGGGTTGTCACTAACCCTGTTTAAATTGTTTTTTTACAAACATACAAGTGGAATGAAGAACGAATACCCGTGTAGGGTTGTCACTTGTCACTAACTCTGTTTAAATTTTTTTAAGTAAGTGAATGTTTTAAGGAAAATCTAATTCGGCACGTTCTTTGTTACTTGGAAGAGATCACGTCGAGGAGGTATTTAGAAAAGTCGGTAGAAGAGTTTTTTCACTTTTTGTACTCATTGTGTATACCTAGAGACCCCGAGGGGTGAGGGCTTTATTATTTTTAAAATAAACCGCAATAAAACCTTAAAAATTGTCTCATTTTATAATGTGTAGAGTTCGCGTAAATATAACATATTATAACGAGGTTACGATTCATTTGTCACACAGTAAAACGATTATTTTTATTATTAAAAATTATAAGCTTCTCATATTTACTATTCGGTTTAGCACCTGCGATCTACTTTTCACTATGACCGGTAGAGAATGCCATTAGGCATTAAGTCCGCCCATTGTAGCCATTTAGCCTAAGGTGTAACAAGGAAGTTTAAATAAATAAGCTGAGCCGCTGTGATAAAATACAATAATGCCTAACCTATGTTCAACTGCAGCAACATTTCAATGATTCAAGATTCTTGTAGCTTTGCAGTGGCTCCGTAGATTAAACCCCACGTCATAAACTTACGAAATAAATACTATTTCTACAACATATTAGTAAAGACGACTATATGCATCGTCTTACCCTTGCTGATGACGTTGACGTGGCTGCCGGGCTGAATGATCGCGGTCTGAATGAACCACGGAAGCCCGAGGCACACCAGGATGTCGAAGACGTTGGAACCGACCGCGTTCGACACCGCCATGTCACCATACCTGGACATCCACATCCCATGGTGATATATAACCGTGGTGGGGCCACGCAACAGTTTTCACTGTTCCATGAATGGGCAGAACCGTCCCGGTGATTACCACGATCGCACAGAAAACCGGCGTGAAGTAGAAGTGTTACATTAATGCGTTTAACAATAATGATGGCAACGCATTTGCAACCCTACGGGTGTTGCAAATGTCCATGGGGGGCGATTATTACTTAACATCAGGTGAACCGCCAGCTCGTTTGCTACTTTTTCACATAAAAAAAATATGGCGAATCACCCGGAGCAAACCGGGACAAAAATTCTTTTTATTCAATATTGTTTTTAGTTAAATCAAAATCTCAGTAAGTATTTATGACAACCGATTGATTTAACCGTGTTGAAAGCTGCCGCCAATGGCAGCCTGGTGGTGGTTAGTCTTGAAGTTGAAACTGGTAGCTGGCACCGACGAGTTTTCGTGCGACAGTATATGCGACAGTATATGCTGTGCTGTGTATGTAATATACAGTGTACTTTGACATAATCTTAGTTGAGCATTCCATAATTAAAAAAACATTTGACAAGAAATAACCAGAAAAATATCAATTCAAACATTGTTCGTTTATCTCGTTAAGAGTGGTCACCCTATTGATAAGCGGTTTAGTAATTATGCGCTCAGTGAAAAGTTTTAGTGCTCGTCAATAGGTTATTGTATTGAGGCGGTAAGGCAGGAATTTCTTAAGGTGTCCAATTGGTGAATATTTAATATTTTTAAAAATTAAAAATAATAAGGTCACAAGTACGCACCAGATTCGGATTTAGAATCAAATACTACGTATGATCTGTTAATATGTCCGTCGTCCATAAAATCACCCTGTATACGGATAGTAAGAGATTAGTAACGCCCTCGTCCGCCTCACCCCTCCTTGATGACGGCGAGTGAGGAGAGCGCGTCCGGCACGGAGACGCCGGCCGCCACGAACGTCAGACCCATCACGGTGTCCGGGATGCCGAGGGTGTACCCTGCGCACAGGGGACCTTATGCAGCGTGCGAAACACGCGGTAACAAAGGGGTGGAGAGGGATCTGAGACACTACGATGATTCGGTGGGGTGGGGGGGATTAACTTCTCTTCCGCGCTTCACTTGCAGTGCGGTATAAAAGTAAAGTAACAGCCTATACATGTCCCACTGCGGGGCAAAAGCCGCCTCTGTTCAGAGGGTTCAGGGCATAGTCCACCAGTCCATAGCGGCCCCACTGCGGATTGGCGGACTTCCAATACCTTCGATATATATTTTGGCTTTACTATTATTTTTTTACGAAAATATGCAGGTTCCCTCACGATGTTTTTCTTCACCGCTGAGCACGTATAATTCGGCACTTAAAATTAACAATTTCATTGGTGCCGGCACAGGGGGTCGAACTCAGGTTGCTCAAGTATATCGAATTAAAGGCGAGCGCGCGAACACTGAGCTATCACGGCTATGTTGTATAATCGTTAAAAAATATGCATATAGTACAGGTCGGGACCCGACAGACGTTGTATTAAATCCGACAAGTTAAAAGAGTAAAGTAACAGCCTATACATGTCCCACTGCGGGGCAAAAGCCGCCTCTGTTCAGAGGGTTCAGGGCATAGTCCACCAGTCCATAGCGGCCCCACTGCGGATTGGCGGACTTCCAATACCTTCGATATATATTTCTTTACTATTATTTTCGAAAATATGCAGGTTCCCTCACGATGTTTTTCTTCACCGCTGAGCACGTATAATTCGGCACTTAAAATTAACAATTTCATTGGTGCCGGCACAGGGGGTCGAACTCAGGTTGCTCAAGTATATCGAATTAAAGGCGAGCGCGCGAACACTGAACTATCACGGCTATGTTGTATAATCGTTAAAATATGCATATAGACTAGCGGACCCGACAGACGTTGTCCTGTACACAACACGACTTAAATCCGACAAGTAAAGTAAAAAAGTAAAGTATCAGCCTATAGATGTCCCACAGCAGGGCATAGGGTCCTCTGTACAGAGGGTATCAGGGCATAGTCCACCACGCGGCCCCACTGCGGATTGATGGACTTCACATATCTTCGAAACATATTTTTTTATTACTATTTCGAGAATAGGCAGGTTTCCTCACGATGTTTTCCTTCACCGCTGAGCACGTGATAATACGGCACTTAAAAATAACAATTTTATTGGTGCCGGCACCGGGGATCGAACTCAGGTTGCTCGAGTATATTAAATGAAAGGCGAGCGCCCGGACACTGAGCTATCACGGCTCTAAATCCGACAAGTTATAAATAATACCATCAGGTGAACCGTCCGCTCGTTTGGCAACTTTTCGCATAAAAGAAAATATTATAAATCACGTTAATTTTTATCGATTGAATGATGATTAACGGACGAGGTGGTTTGACGACGTGATGAATACATACCGATGATGGTGATCATCCAGACCATGAAGTAGGAGTAGAAGGAGATCCAGAGCATGGAGATGATGAAGGTGATCGGGTACCAGCGGCCGCGGCAGTCGGGCATCGTGTGCCGGCAAGACCAGTGGACCGGGTACGCGACGTACCAGCACGCCATTTGCAGATGATCTGGGAATAACAATGATAATATAATAATGATAGCAATAATTTTTTATATAACATTATTTGTGTCTAGAATTTAATTAAAAATGGATACACTTATGCCCAGTTTCTGAAAGGCCAATCAAAGCAGCAATCACATAACACTATGTCAAAAATGATCAGCTGTTAATCTCTTGTTAAACTGCCTTGGGTTTCTGGAAGGTTTGTCCAAGAAAAATTAGCTAATCACTGTATAACCAACGATAATGAATGAAATGAATGATTTACTTCAACTAACTCTTTCTATTGTATAGCTGTCCCTTTTTAAACAAAACTTAAATTAACGTCACTATCCAGTCCTGTCACCGTGTGATTGCCAACGTAAAAATCCGAGCTATAATAAAATTTAATTTATATAAATACATGCAAAATGTCAAGAAAAAACATTACAGAACGTGAAAAAAATGAATTTTTATCCATAATAAACAAGTAAGTATTATAAAAAGAAAGAATCCATATTATTTATTAACTTTTGAATTGCATTTTCTATTTTTTCTAATCGCATGATATGTTCGCATAATAATAAATAGGTAATAGAACACATGAATTTCCTTATAACGTATTAGGGAATTATGTTTATTTCTAATAAAAACTAAGATTTTTGATAAAATACTTTTTTAACCAACGATTGATCGTCTAAATTGACAGATTACTTAATAAAACTTTTGACAGCTCGTTGACCACCGAAAAACGCTTTCAGAAACTCGATGTTCTGTTGATTGTCCGTTAATCAGTGACTAATTGCAAATCAAAATCAATGTTGTTTTCAGACGTTCTAGCAACTCAGATCATGTTAAACAACGTTTGACAAGAGATTTATCGTAAATTAAAATTGATTGCGCTTTCGGAAACTGGGTGTTAGAAAAGCCTCCCTGTATGTTTATGTTTATTTTTATTTATAAACCCAAATAGACGAGAAAACGAATAAATAACCCTAAATAACAATAATAATAACCAATAACTCAAATACAGAAGGCGGTGCTCCTCGATACCGCCCGCATCGTCCGCCGGTTTCTCTCTTTCGCCCTAAGTCTCGGCCGATTGGTCTTCCCTGACGAGGGCTTCCGTCTGGTTGGGTCCTATTTATTTATTTATTTATACTATGGTAGGACCACACAACAGTGTCCGCTGTTGCACGAATGGGCAGGTCCATCCGGTTAGTACCGCGACCTCACGGAAGACTGGTGAAAAGTTGAAGTATTACAATTCTGCGTTTCGTCTCGTGAGTGAGGTAGCCGGGGCCCACTTTATTAAATGGTGGCAACGCATCTGCAACCTTACGGGTGTTACAAATGTCTATGGGCGACGGTTATCACTTAACATAAGGTGAACCGCCAGCACGTTTGTCACTATAATAACAATAACTGACGACTGCGTGTGTTTATCAGTTATCTATTACCCGTAGTATTACATTTGCTTGCTTAATTTGAAACTAGAAAACGTTGTGTAAAAATGTGTCCTGAAATATTTATTTATTTAATATCGATTCATTTCAGACCAAAATTTAACAGCTGACCAAAAAATATTAATAATCACACCGTTTTCAACAGAGATCTTTTGAGGGGAAAAAATTAGCTAAAGAAAATTTCCAATTACATCAAATTTAAATATCATTATTGAATATAGAAGCATTACACATACTTATTAATTGTACCATGGGCGGCGGTAATCGTCAAACATCGGCTGACCCAATTATTCCTCAACTTTGCACCAAATAAAAAGTAATTTACTAGCCGATGATCGCGAACTGTTCTTTGATATAATCGACACCGTAATGGTACAAGACTCACTAGCGCCGACGGGCTTGACGAGGGGGTCGACGGCTGTTTCCGGGTTGTACTCCTTGGCCTTGTAGTAAGCCGGCATGGATGGCATGATCGGTATTGGCTGCAATGTAAAGTTTTAATTTCGACGCAAATTTCGTAGACCGCCGCGTTGAGGGGCGTAATTAGTAACACAGGCGGCAGTCGTCGGGATATGGTCCATACCCTACTTTGACGGCAGATAGCTGACAACCTTGTAACACAACCAGCGCATGAAATAATGCGTGACTATTAGCTTAAGGTGGACCGCCACGAGTTGGATGGATCCAACTCGTGGAAACTTTTCCACGCACGGGTCGGGTTTTAAATGAAGTTTTATATCATCCCCGGAGTGAAAGTGTAACTGCAGATGACACCATCAACTTTATGTAACGTAAAAGTGTGAACTGTGAACTTACGGACAGGCTATTTAGTAGCGATCGAAGTAGAAAAATCGAAGTAGTTTAGTAAGATCGAAGTAGAATTTAGTAGCGATAGTAGCGGTAGGTAATTGAATTTGTATACAAGTATTAATTTTTCCATGTTTTTAATTTTCGGAGTTGAATATGTATTGAACAAAATGACACTTGACACGAAACTTAGAACCGACCCTGGGATAACAGACATCATATTTCATATTGTAATTTATATTTTACGAATTTTTATTTTTTCTATCATGATCATTTTTATTTTAGACTTCTGGATTTATGGTTAAGGGACATAAAATACTTCTGACCCACTCTTTTTTTTCTGTATTCGTAGCGTCACTTTTCCAAAGAAAAAGTTTTCTTGAGCAAGTCAAACACTAAGCTGGAATAAAGTAAAAGTTGTTGCATTGCAAAGTTTTAACAACTAATTAGATAGACATCCTTAGATTAAAAACCATCTAAATCTTTCTCTACCATACAAAAGGTATATTTTTAATGGTATTTTGTATATTGAAATTGAGTCTTTATTAAAACTTCAATAGCTAATACGAAATTTTTAGTATCCTTTATTTTCTATACTTGTGTAAAGAAAATACTCCGAAAGCATTCGTCAAACTTCCAAATCTGTAGCCGCTGCTACGAATACGGACCTGCGGCGACGGTTGTGGCTGGCTCTGTTGTTGTTGTTGCTGGGGCTGTTGCGTCTGAACCTGTTGTTGCGTCGGCTGGGCGTCCACTCCCCACCCTGGCTGCGGGGCCGTTGGTTGAGGCTGCAACAGACCGCCTCGTCAATTACTGTCAGGCGATTGTCGACAAAGTTGTCAAAAAAAGTAAAAGAATGCTTCAGTTTTTCGCAACACGTGACGAAGGAATAACGAAGGGGACTCATGATACTTATTTGATTACGATGAGAATTTATAGTGTTCGGGAACGTCGGCGGAGAAAGCGTAGGACAAATGTATGTCGTTCAGATTTGGGGATTGTAAGGGAAGGCGGTGTGATCGCGGATTGCATTTATTTATTTATTTATGTCCATTGTTACTTTCGTATGTGTGACGTGGAGGAGTTTATTGTATAATTATTTAAATGTAATTGAATGCAGCTTAATCTTTAAATTATTTACTATAGCCCTAGCTAGCCACGCGTCTAAAATGCCTGAACTCCAACTGAGAGGCGCTTATATTGCGAATAGTTTTAATGTTGGTTCTATGTGTAGTTTTGAGTTAGTAAATAATATAAACTAATACTAATAAATAAATAATAATAATATTATATAGTAAATAAAATAATAATTATATAAACTTAACCCCGAGAAAGGGCAGTCTTAGCAGACGGATAGACAACCCTATGATAATTGACTAAGTAAAAAAAAAAAAAAACTGGGAAAAAACGAAACCCATCTAGGACGTTTTTATTGTTTTTACAGCTTGATACACGGCGAGGCTTCGTGTCCATACCCACAGCTCATTGTCAGTTTGTGCAAAACATCTAAAATGGCCATTTGCATGTTGGTCTATGTTACGTTGCAGGGGTGTTTATAAACAAGGAATGTTTATAAACACCCCTGCAACGAACAAAATAGCCTGATGTCGAAATAGACCCCTACATAATAAAGCCAAAAAGATAATATGCAATTATCAGTTTATGGAATTACAAAAAAATTTTCAGTAACGCTTTTAATATTTACAAACATATATTACCGCTTCGCCCCAAGCCTGATTTGCGTCCCACGCCTGATTGGGGTCCCACACGGGTATGGGGTCAGCGTTGTACGCAGCGTTGTCATATGCACCATCTGGATTGTACTCTGCAAGGTGGACGGACATTTAGTGGCATTTCAACACGAAACTCAAACTCACTTAAGAAATTAACAGATTAGAAAATACAGGATGATTTTATAGACGACGGACATATTAACAGAGCATATGCAGAATTTTATTCTAAATCTGAATCTGGTACGTACTTGTGACCTTATTTTATTTTTCAAAGATTATTTTTAATTTTTTCAAACATTATGGACACCTTATGAAATTTCTGTCTTACCGTCTCAATACAATAACCTATTGAGGAGCACTAAAACTTTTCGCCGAAGGCATAATTACTAAACCGCTTGTCAATAGGGTGACCACTCTTAACGAGATAAACGAACAATGTTTGAATTGATATTTTTCTGTTTATTTCTTGTCAAAATAAAATATTAATATTCTTTTTTAAGTATGGAATGCTCAATTAAAATTATGTCAAAGTATGTACTTAGTCTACAAAATCACCTTGTATAATACAAACCATAAATTCAAATATTTTATTCAATGTCGAAGCACTACATTTAGTCATTGATTGAGAAAACGCTATTCGGAAAAGAAAAGACACTGACCTGAGAAGAACCGGCGTAAGAAACTAAGCGTGACATTTCTTTAATCACAAAGACACTTCTGTGCAATAAAGATAAGATTCAAATTTGATGCTTAACATTTTATAATTTAGATTTTACAAATATAGCTGAATATGCATAGTTTAGCAGCAATTGGCTGTGGTAGGGCCACGCCAACTGCTACATCCTTGGCTGTTGCACGAATGGGCATGATCGTCCGGGTAAGTAACACGACCTCACAGAAGGAAGACCGGCGTAAAGTCGAAGTATGACAAATACTTTTGCGTCTCGTCTGGCGAGTGAGGTAGCCGGAGCCCAATTATCAAAAGGTTGTCAACGCATCTGCAACCCTCGGGTGTAGATGTCCATTAATTCTCACCGGCTGTCTGCAGAGGTGTTTCCTTCGTCTGACCCTCCATTTGTGAATACTGACCCTCAGCATTCGCCGCTGCCGGTGGCTGCCCGCCAGCACTCCTGCTAACAACAATGAACATTTTTCCACGCTCAAGTCTTGTGGTGGTATTGAAAAAATATGCTGAGTGACGTTATACCCTAAGTAAACCGGTGCGTTATCATTTCGCCCGGTATATATTTCACCTGGTAAAGCCAAAGGTGTAATTATTCAAGGTGATAAATTTTAAAAGTACAAGTTTATCATCCAGCGGAGCTTCCATACTGAAGCAAGGCTCTCATTCAGAAAACAACCTATTTGCTCTAAAATTTGTAGCCTTAAACGCCATATCTTCCCAATAAAAATCTCAAGGTATTGGTGCGCTAGTTATATCTACCTCTTATTTGTATATATGTACTTTGTTTTTATTGAATTTTAAGCAACACTTGGCGCTATCTAGTTTGTTTCTTTTACAGCAAACGATCATTTTTTCAAACGAAAATTTACAATGATGAAAATTATGATGATGATATCACTATTGTTATTAAAATTTAAATGATATTAATTCTTATACTTTTGTATTATGCACTTAAGATGAAACCTAATATTTGTGAAATTATAAATTACAAATTACAAATTAAATTACAATTAAATTAATGAAAAGCTTTTCCAGTTACGAGAGTATGAATTTGCGTCCGAAGAGTCTTATGCTTATCGCGTTAAAGTCTACTCTCCTGGTGGTACACCACGGCTCCCATTATACCCGTAGCCCATGATATCATATACAAAGATATGACACTAGCGCTAAATTGAGGCACTCAAATTACAATTTGTCTAATTCTATTGACCGCTGTCTCGTTCGTATCATACGATCTATATTATCTGTCATATTCCCTTATATATGTCATAACGTAAAGCGGATCAATTTTTTAATGCTGCGAAGTATCAACAAGCGTCAACCATATTATTTTCTTTCTTTCTTTCTTCCTTCCTTTCTTTCTTTCTTTCTTCCCTCCTTTCTTTCTTTTTTTTTCTTTGTTTCTATTAAAATCATTCTATAAGTATTAATTGCCTTAATTGTTTTTATCAAAGTTTTAATATGTAATAACCGTCATTAAAATTTTAGTTTTGTTACAATTTTCTCACACCAGTTTATAGATGTTACATTATTTTGATTAGGGTATAAGTTTATGTTAAGAAAGCTGTGTTCATGTGTAATTGTTGGAACATTTACGATTTTTTTACCTCTATAATTATTTGGCATGCCGTGTCCAATGTTGGTGAGCCTCGATAAACAAATGAATTGCCCGCAGCGCCGAGGTGACGAGCCCACCTGTACGTGACGAGCGCCGCCTGTTCCTCGCGCGTCGGCAGCTTGAAGGGCAGCGGCAGCGTCAGCGCCCAGCGCTCCAGCTCCGCGTTGAAGTGCAGGGCCACGCAGTACACGCCGTACATTATCAGCATGAACAGCGCCTCGGGCCTGGGAATTGGCCCGCGGTTGGGATACGCGATCGCGAGGAGGAACCAATCTTATCTTTTTTTTTATTTGCATCTGGCCAGCACTTGATTGCCATCCCACCTGATGGTAAGTGGCGATGCAGCCTTTGCAATCCCTATTTATTCCTTTTTAACCGACTTCAAACGGAGGTTCTCAATTCGAATGTATTTTTTTTATGTTTGTTACCGAATAAGTCTTGAGTGAGTGAACCAATTTTGATGATCCATTTTTTATTTAAAATCTGGTGCTTCATGTGGTCCCATATTAATTTCATTGGTATTGGATCTTGGGCTCCAGAAATACTTAAGGAACTGTTGAAAATCAATTATAAAATAAATACAGAGCGAGATATTTCAAGTCAGTTTTGTTTTTCCTTAGTAAAAAAATTGTTATTTTATATGAAATGGTGGCAAACGAGCTAGGGCGTTAGGGTTGCAAAAGCTTTGCCATCTTACAATAAAAGTGGCCTCCGGTTACCTCACTCACCAGATGAGATGCAGAATTATAACGCTTCTCTTCTGTTAGTTCGTGGTACTTCAATGGGCGGACTCATTCGTACAACAGTAAATGCTGCGTAGCCCTACCACAGTTGTCACCTGCGGTAGGGCCACGCAATTTCCTGATCGAGAAGGCTATCTACACACAATACATCTTTAGTTACCACGTCTGAAAGTTTCCCCGATCACACCACATACGTACAGCATACGAATAATTTTGACAAGTAGTGCATCATCATCCACCGGCTGTGTCCACATGTAAAACTGATGACTCCGTGGCACAGTTGCCAGGGTGTTGCCTTCGGCCTCGGGAGCCGTGCGTTCGATTCCCACGCGGGACAACTATTTGTGTGACCCACAGACAGTCTGTTTCGTCCACGTGAAATTAATGTTTGTAAAACGGCCTCACAACACAGGATAGGATAACGCCTTCAAAAAGAGAGCATACTTTTTCTTAAAAGGCCGGCAACGCATTTGTGAGCCCTCGGGTGTTGCAGGTGTTCATTGGCGGCGGTGATCACTTACCGTCAGGTGAGCCTCCTGCTCCTTTGCCCCTTTTCTCCATAAGAAAAAAACACCCTAAAGTAAGTGCAATGTTTTTTTTTTTAAAAAATCTCACCAGGACACGTATTTGTTGGCGATGGTGCACAGCATCACCAGTATGGAGATCGCGTAGAAGAAGCAGTCGCGGCAGAGCGGCCACCAGTTCAGGTGGGAGACAGTGCCAGCGCACAGGGCGCACACGGAGATAACGAACATGATGTTGAACACCGCTGAGCCGATAACCCCAGACACACCTGGCGTGGTCACATAGCGATATAACTAACTGTGATTCCATGTCGCAGCTGCCAAGGTATTGGCTTAGACGCCGGGGGTTGTGGGTTCGATTACCACACGGGATAGCTGCTTGTGTTAGGATGATTGTTTCGGATCTGGGCATGTGAAATTTATGTTTTGTAAAATGTCGTTACAGCACGGGATGATTTTATCCTACAGTAAAAATGTTTAAAAAAAAAACTATGCGAATATATTAGCCGTAAGAAATCTTAAAACACACGGACGCTCATCACTAGGATTTGAACCCACAGCCAGGATTACGCAACACTGGAAATCTCGCGAAATTGGAATTAAAATTTATTACTATCAACTCGCAAATAATCTTACACTCCGAAAATGCGAACCGACGAGTTGCAGAACTTAAATATGTAGATTATACGTTCCTCAATCGCAACGCCATCTGGGTTTTCTTTCAATAGTAGTGTCAATTCTCGCACTTGTGCTATTGTGCCGAGTTGCAAGACCGGGCCCACGACGTTTAATGGGAACAGACATCACATTTTAATAACTTTACTTGCCCTTCTGGAATTTCAAAAAGATGGCAATCAATCAAAAATAAGCGAGGGCTCACGGAAACATATGTATAACAATGTTTCAGTAGGTGTGTTGGTCATTTCGAAGTGGGTCAGCTCCCTCATTCATTACTCGCATAAATAGTTTTCCTGCACGCTCGTTTCGCAACAGGTGCTTTTGTAACTACTATAAAATATTTATTATATTGGTTACGTGTCGTTGATTTCGATATGGATAAGTAAAGTCAGCTCTCAATAACCAATATCGTCCTGGGCGCAGAACACCCCGATGACGACGGTTGCCAACTCAGGTGCGGAGCTGCCGGCTGCCATGAACGTCGCACCGGCCACGTCTGGCGCCAGCTTCAACTCTGGAAAATCATGGAGTTACTGTGAATATTCAGCCAACCTATCATTGAGGTGATTATCTTTGAGTAATTATGGACAGATTCCACTATAAGTTGTGCGTTTAAATTTAAATTAATAAATGGCGTTTAAATAAGTAAAAGGCGTTTAAATTAATAAATGGAGGTAGTGTATAAGTAAATGCAATTAATAACGCAATAACCATATTCTGTTCAATTGCATTAGACGGAACTCGTTTCTGCCAAAGTATTGCTTTAGTTGACTTTATCTTCCTTGGGCTAGTGGTTGATTTATTTTAATTATGTTTCAACTACTTTTTTTCCTTTTATTATATTATTATTTATTCCCTTTTGACACACTATTTTCCTTTTATACATACAATATTATATGTTATTATTATTATTATTTATATGATTATTATTATTATCTTCATTTGGAACAGTAGTTATTCATGTCAATGAATGTCTATATCTGCTATCAATGTCTGCTAGGGGAATAGAATATGTAACTTAAATAGAATAGAATTATAACTTACAAAGTAGCGACTTAAGCACACACCTTCGCAGATCCTGTCGAGGCTGCAGACGAAGTACTCGTCGCAGACGATAGCCAGCCCTATGAAGGTGAACACGGCGACCAGGATGTGGAGGATCAGACCGCCGTGCTTGCGCGCCGTCTGTCCCATCAGTGGTTGAGGGAACTGGAAGGCAATGGGAACTGCACAGAGCGTTGCTTGCGAGACATTGATGTTTGGTATAGATGACGCATGTTCATACTGCGCGGCGGTTAGAAAATGTTCCGGTTTACATTATATTACATATATAACTTAATGTAACAGATGATATAGAACGTACGACACGGAAAGAGATAGAAGTCTACATAATTGAAATCTAATCACACCAATTGGTGTAATTCGAGTGCCTCAGTTTCGGTGCGCTTGATCTACCTCTTATTTGTATATATAATATCATTGGATTCGGAGTATAAGTACACGCGTGTAAAACTTAAATGCGATTCAGTGAAGCTCTGCGGATTTACTGTCGAGTACAAAAGTCAAAAATCAAGTTATCGCTAAAAATAGCCAATTTATATAAATAAATATAATTTTTTTTATGAAAATTTATGTAAATAACTTGTTTCAAAATCCGAATAACAATGCTGTTCTCACACAAAGGCTAAGCGAGAGGACTAAGATTAAGTCGAAATGTTATCTGTGTACTGCGCAATGATTTACACGAACTGTAGAACCTATTTGAGATTTCCGCACCTCGTTCTAGACGTCCTCTCAATTCATTCATAGCCTTTGAGTCGTTTACAGTCATTGAGGTATTTACAGAGACTAAAGGCCCATTTACACGATGCCATTTTCTTGTACATACAAGAGCAATAATTGAATGCAATAGATTGCGCGCAATAATTGTTAAGACCATTTGTTGTTTAGACCATGCAACTCATTTATTGCTTCAATTTAATTGTATACAACAGGCAAGAAACTGGCACCGTGTAAATGGGCCTTAAGTAGGTGTACAGAAACTGTTACGTACCTGTTCAATAGCCGGAGGTGTGCAATTCCTCAAAGGATGCACAGTTGGTATGGTGTCCTCCTGAATGCGATGAAAAAGATTACTCGTCAGTTTAGGCCATCAGATGAATATTTCATATGGTAAAGAAAAATCATGATAATAAGTTTAAAAAAATTTTTTTTTTTCTCAAAACCTGTCAGCGACCGGAGAATTCTGCTTTTTGGTTATCTCATTAGTGATTTTCTTTACTGAATATATTTTTTTAGATCGAAAAAAACCCGGTGGGAAATCTTAAGTTTTCATGTTTTTGGAGAATTAATAGAAATAGTCGAAAACACGAATATAAGGTGAAAGTAAGGTAATCGAAATCATAATATCAAATCCAATATTCAACGTAGGTATTTATTAATAATGTAATGAAACTATTTATTATAACGACTTTCGCACTATGAAAAGATTTTTATGATGCGGGTAGTTCCAAATGTGGTATTTCTACGGATTCTTAACTTAAGTTTTCATGTTTTTGGAGAATTAATAGAAATAGTCGAAAACACGAATATAAGGTGAAAGTAAGGTAATCGAAATCATAATATCAAATCCAATATTCAACGTAGGTATTTATTAATAATGTAATGAAACTATTTATTATAACGACTTTCGCACTATGAAAAGATTTTTATGATGCGGGTAGTTCCAAATGTGGTATTTCTACGGATTCTTAATGTGGCGCAACTGTAGTTAGCGGAGCGTTCTCTTAAACCATTGTCCTACCATGTGGAACATATGATGGATGAATAATCTTTTGACAAAAATTACATAAAAATAAGCCCTACTATTTATTAACAGTACACGAGCAATGTTACACCTATTCCTGGCACCGATGGAATTAATATTTTCACATGCATACTGATTTACCATGCGCTGTGAATGAAATCATCTTTAGCATAAATGCACAGCTAAATAAATTAAAGAAGAATGATTTTATAAGTTATTTGCCAATCCAAATCTGTCAATCCGCAGCAGTGTTGCGTAGTGGTCTAAAGTCCTAACTCCCTTCGTTCTGCGATCTTTGCCCGAGAGTGGTTACTTTTACTTTATCTTTTACATAAAAAATGGAATTATAAAACGATCATTACATATTCTTTCACGTATCCGTCGTCTTTCTGCTTCTTTTTCTCACCCTCTTCCTCTTCTATTTCTTTGAGCGTCTTCTTGTTTCCTTCTGGAGGCATCTCGCTACTTTCATCTTCCGCTTCTTTGCTACTGGTCATTGGCAGTGGTGAAGAGCCGACGTTTTCTGAAAGCGAAGATCAGGCGGAAGTTAAGAGATGACGAGTGTTTTCGTAACCGGAAGTTGCACGGCAGGGAAAAAGAAAACTCTAAACTCACCGAAACCGGAAGTTTGGTTGTAGTCGCACAAAGAAGCTGTTATGTGAACTTGTTTCCAGTGATAATAAAGAAAGATCAGAATTGTTTGAGTGCTGAGAATGACGAATGTAAGAGTGGTAGAAGACCTTTTTAAAATAACAATCATAACAAATGTATCCGAATTATTCGTTGAAATTGCATTATTCTTAACGATTAACATTTCATGGACCTAATATCATTATTTCTTAAGACTGATATTTATGATAATGATTTGTACACCTAGAAAACATTAATAGATTGCAGTTTTACTCTTTTCCGGTAGGTGGCGCTAAAACTTACGGTACCTTTACTTTTACTACATTTTTACTTTTACTTTCAATTACGTTCTTGCTTTCAGCCCGTAGACATTAAAGCTTCAACGAAAGCAGAACTCGTGAGCTAGCAAGAACAAACGAGCCCGATACGATCCTCCGCGTTGGTTAGATCATAAGCGGGAAAATATGTCAGCCCGATGGACATTGAATGTATTAAACGGTGGCTTGGGGCGGCGAGTGCCGCCCTGGAACGCAGGTGTTACGAAACATGATTTCAATAAGGCCAAAATACATAATGAGTATGACCTTCAATCGGTCACGTTGTTCGGAAATGGTGCGATCGATTAAAGGTACATTAAAGATTGTATAGAAATAAAATTGAAGAAGAGAATTGAAAGAAAGGGATAGCATTATTATGTTTGTGACAACGGCTGAACGAATTTTTGTGAATTCGGAAAGCCCACACTCTTATTATTTGATTTGGAACACCATCTACACGTGTGAAGTCGCGAGGAGAAGTTTAAAATGTCATAAAAATTAGTGAAAGTTTCCGTTCAAGTCGTGAATACTTAAACAGATTGAAGGTATGCTTTGACAGGCGGCAGTCTGTAATTTGAAGATTTTTTTTTATCTTTATTCACATAGACGCTTGCGCGTTCTTATGAAACGTCGAAATTTTACAAGGAAATTAATATGTTCGTAAGTTACCACGATTTTTGAACTGTTTACTATTCAATTGATATTTTCAGATAATATTAAAAAGTCGCAAATAAACAATAGTCAAGTACTCGCACTGAGTTTTATTACCGTTATTCGTCGATGTTTTTGCGTCGGAATCGACGACAGGCGGGGTCGCGTCGACGGTGGTGTCGGGCTTTGTCGGTGACAGGGTCGAGGTGGAGGCGCTCAGGACCGCTTGGAATATGGAGTACGCGATGAAGAAGACGGAGACGGTCAACCAGCGGTGCCTCCGCGGCCGATGCATCCTCTGCAACGCCACAACATCGGGTCAATGACATTTATTTATACTTTATTGTACACCAAAAATCAAAATATATAATTATATAGAAAGCAAATTACCAATGAATAAAAAAGGATGTACAATAGGCGGTCTTATCACTCAGAAAGTGATTTCTTCCAGACAACCATTGCGAAAACAATTATTGCTAATGAGACAAAGAAAAGAGGATGGAGAGGAGAGAGGAGGAGAGGAAGAAAGAGAGATGAAGGCATTTATACATCAGACATTTTGTATTTACGAAACATTTTACACCGACATCGCTCTCGAAATGGTGTAAACTAGTGATTACTATTTATGGACACAAGTATACAGTAGGTGAAGTAAGAGATATAATTTAAAACCATCATTCACCATCCCTGTTATTCAAAAGAGATGAATAACGTGAATGGTATGTGGTTACGTAAATGTCGAGAGAATACATCGCTTTTTTATTCTTAACACAGAGCGAGAAAAACTTGTCCAGCAGCTTTTTCTGTCAAGTGAATAATATCTTGTATCTTGTATTAACTGATGTTTTTGCTTTCAGTCCCGAGACTATTAAAGCTTCATCCGACGCAGAACCGGTGGGATAGCTAGAGCCCACGGGTTTGAGCCCTCCGCTGTGGGTAGGGCCGCCCCTCCGCTGTGGGTAGGGCCGCGCATGTGCTCATGCGTGCGTTTAACTATGGTGTGCCATCTAAGGCAGTGAATAATAAGCCTATCTATCAGCAATTTCTGTTGCACGATTGGGCCGACTCCAGGTTGGTACTAGGACCTCATATCAAACCAGTCGTAAATTAAAAGTATTTGGGCTTTTTCATTTTGCAGTTCACCATCGTATTGGCTATCGCAGTGTAGGACAGTACCCCCCGCCCCCCGCCCCCGTTAGATGTAGTTACGATCCGTACTAGTGTGCAGGATACTGAGTTGTTTCACAGTCGGTGTCATGACCATAACCGCTGGAAAGGGTGCGAAACGTCGGGTTGAAAATCTAATTAACCGCATTAAATCCGTAAAAATACCTTACTTTTACAATATTTACGGGTCCATGGATTTTTAGAATCACATAATTACATGTACGAATAAGTTTTGATATTACATTGTATAACGGAGAGAAAGATTGTTTACCTGTATAAGAAATAATGTTATATAAGGGACATATCCTTGATATCAGAAATTCTAATCACTCTTGAGTTTGAATCATTGAGTTGAAAAACTGGTCGTCGAAATTAATTTGAGATAAAATTTTTGATAGATTATTACAAAGCTCTACAACGAGAAGACATAACCCATCAAAGTTGGCACTTGATATTTTTAATTTCGCAATAGACGTGGCAAAAGTGTTGCGGGGCGAGAGCCTTCTTTATTACCAATAAAACCATCTTTGAGATTCAAACCCGATACCAATTCCGAGGATTCGGCTATAAAAGCTTACTTTATAGCGCGGTTACTAACATGTTACCGCAATAAAGCGCGTAATGTCTTACGAGATGGCGTCAAATTTACACCAATGGCTGATTTTACGGTGGTCGATATTTTATTTTTGATTTAATTGGGAGATCCGTCGTACCAAAGTGCTATATGCTCTTACAACAGTCCCATGGACCTTGCTAAAATTGTTTGATTTCACTAGAAGGCTTTGTATATTTATACGCATCAAGATCGAAGAGGAGTGATGGACTAGGCTGTTTCTCAATTTTTGATTTATGTATAAAATTGGCATAAATGTCTATTAAATGAAGGATCTTTAAGAAAATCGGAATATTTTATATTTGATTATGACTTATTTATTTCCTTTCTTAGTGTCCTTTTATGCAAAGATGTTTTGATATTTGTATTTCATATCATTGGCTTATAAGTATATTATCTGTACTAAATATGTAATAATTTTACGTACCCACCGCGACGCCTTATTTTTTTCGTATTTAAAATTTTTTAATTTCTTAATTATAAACATGTTTTTTTGATTGTAATTTGTAACTGCTTCTCGTATCTCATATCTGACTAGATACTGCTAAAAACTTATGTAAGTGATGTATTATTATTGTTTTTTATGACATGGCGGTGTACAACCTGGTGTTAAGTGACAACCGCCGCCCATAGAAGTTTTAATAAAGTGGGCCCCGGCTACCTCACTCACCAGATGAAACGCAGAAGTATAAACTTCCACTTCACGCTCTGAGAGGTCTCATTGTCTTCTGTGAGGTCATGGTACTTACCCGGACGGACCTGCCCATTCGTGCTTTAGCGACGATTGTTGCCTACGACAGTTGAATTATGCAACATAAGAACTGTTTGCGTGCCTATTATAAATAGACGAATAAAGTCTTCCCTTTCACTTTCCCTACGTAGTAAATGATTTACTTTTGCACAGCCTGAATATAAAAGTCCTACTCTCTGCTTAGTCATTCTTGAATCGCCATTTATCCGGAATTCACAGAGCGATCCATTGAATACGTCCTGATATTATATTCAGATCTCGTCCGAATTGCACGTATGTCATAAAGGCGGTAGAAACCGAGGGTTATTACAGTCCTTGTGGATTCTATCTGGTGGAATATTTTATAGGAGATTTATTACACTACTTTATTAATCTACAATTCTACACCATATGTTCTTAGTATAAAAATCCTAATAATTTAGGCGACCTTTACAGTTTTTCTAACGTCTACATAGCATTGAATAACACTGGTGGTATTTTAATTGAATTATAGTTAATCAATTTTATTTACAAATTGCAAGATTTGCATTAGAGTTTCGAGCGAAGAAGGTAAAAGCTAAAAGGTAAAGGTTAAGACATAATTGATGGTTGTTTCATCGAATATATAAACGGACAGTATTTAATGACTGCTAGACTTATTTTTACAACGGTATGTAATTTTGTAAATAATTTTACATTGATACAGGACATGAAATTTTACACAAACTTTTCTAGCACTAAGCAAAGCATATTTTTTATCTCAAAAGTTGCCAAACGGGTAGACGGTTCACCTGATGTTAAGTGAATACCGCCGCCCATGGACATCTGCTACACCCAAGGGTTGCAGATGCGTTGACAACTTTTTGAAAATAGGGCTCCGGCCACCTGACTCACCAGACGAAACGCGAAAGTATTATACTTCCACTTTACGCCGGTCTTCTGTGAGATTGTGGTACTTACCCGGACGAGCCTGCCCATTCGTGCAACAGCCGAGGCTGCTGCATGGCCCTACCATAGTTAGAATGTGAATATGTATTACATAAATTAATATTCCACTATTAGCGAACACATTTTTTGAGAGTTATAAACATATCAGCATCTCTACGGTTGTTGTAGATGTCGTAAGGCGCTAGTATTCACTTAACATAATAAATAAATAAATAAATATTCTAGGACATGTTTGACAGGACAGGACATGAAATTTTACTAACTAAGCCTATGGGACCTCATAAAAAGAAAGACTTTTGGTGATCCTAGCTCGGGCCATAGCCCAACCGGATTTGATATTATCTCTTCCACATCCATACATCAACTCATAGAGAGTCAGTTATTGTTAACTGTTTTACGCCGACCTCTTCCAGCATATACATTACTGCTGATCACAGTATATACATTATGGTTCGGACTGTTATATTATCCAAATATCACGATCACACCATAAACAATTTTTATAATTTACAATCTTTATTGATCTCATATTTACAAGATTAAATCTATCTAAAATTACATATTACCTAATAAACCTGATCCACGCGGCATGGTGCCAAAAACGCTAGCTGCATTTCCTCGCTGAATAGTTACGCTTAACTTTTGAGCCAAAAAAAAACCAGCTCTTTTGTCACCAGCCGCGGCGTTAAGCCTAGGACATCAACTTTTAAAAAATATTGATGTGCGGGGACCCCACGGACCTAAAGTTTCAACAGCAAATGCCACAAATACATAATCTAAACATAAAGACTCATATTATACTTTGACTCATTTTTATAATTCAATCGATTTAAAAATCATAACACTGTAACGCCCGGTTTCTGAAACACTGATCATCGTATTAATTAACTTATCAGATGTCAGCGATTCACAAACCGGGTGTTAGTGTGTAATAAACTATTAACTCTTTGGTCAGGGTAGGGAAGGGTAGCGCCAGGTGTCGCGTATTAGTCGATTTCCATACAGAAAAGTATTTCTGTGAATTACTAATTACTGTTTGTTACATGGGTATTTGTCTCTGTGTATTTTATTTTAAATTATCTATAACATGGAATAGTTTAAGGCTTTTGTAGGGGTAATAAAAAGAAAGTAAACTGATCAATTAACTTTTTAACGTATTTTCCCTCTAAACTTAAGTCTATAAAAAATGTTAAGGACCTGGCAACATTTAATTAGCAGTCATCTTACGACCATGGTCATTGAATAAATAAAAAATGGCACCTGACAAACGACGAAAAGCCGGTAATGGATGTAGGATGGGATCTGAACTCACTTCAACTTGAGCCCCTCTTTTGCGCAATTTATGCGAGTTCGTCAATCTTGATTTTCGTTTCTAGTCTGTAGCAATTTCTCCTTTTAATTTTATCCTGAATTGTCGATGAAAGACAAAGTACATTCTCTATTATTACGGTACAAGCTTTCCATTTTCAATATTTCTGAACAAGTTTTATTGTAATAGTAAATATAATATATCTTATCGTAGATTACTCTTTAGATTATTCTATTTCAATAAAGCAAAGTAATCGCGCCAAAATTTATATTCTATATCTATCAACACCAACACCTGATGTGATTAGTTACGTTTTTTATTTTTTACACGCTTCAAGCCATTTTTCATATGTTTTTGTTAAAATTAACAAGATGAAGGGGTGTTCAAATGTTTAGGTACGCGAGATTTTATTACATAAAAAGTATGCTTAATTCAGATATTAGATTCTGAATTAAGCATCCTTTTCCCGTTGTAAAAACAGTGGGTTATTTCCCCATTTCCCCTGAATCATTTCCGCTAGAGCTCTAGTCGGAAGAACGTTGCCGAGGTTTGAAGAGAGTGCAGTGCCTGCTTGGACGTAAAATACTCATCAAGTTTTTCGAATGGATTTGACTGAAGACACTCAACATACCAGAAACTAGTTCTAATTATGAATAATAATAATCGCTCCCGAAGTTTTTACGCTTGGATCTTTTAAACTATACAATAAAAAAAATTAATGTGGTTTTCAGCAATAGAGTGATTCAAGCGGAGTATACATGCATATTATAGTAGAGAAAAACTGAGACATTCAATATCTACATTGCATGCCATGCCGGGGCGGGTCGCTAGTTAAAATATTATTTAATCTTTCGGCACATGTTTACACAACGCTATTTAGTCCCAAAATAAGCAAAGCTTGATACGGATTATAGATATATAAACACCCAGACACTAGAAAAACTGTGTAAACCACACAATATTTCTCCAGTACTTGGGATCGAACCCACACCCTCTGGCGCAAGAGACAGGGTAACTATCATCTACGCCAATTCGGTCTTCTAACAAGGCGGTTTTTTACAAACGAAAAACAAAACTGACTTCAAATATCTCACTCTGTATCTACTTTGACGACCCGATTGGCGTGGGGAGTAGGGCACCTGCCTCTTGCGCCAGAGGGTGTGGGTTCGATCCCCACTACTGGAAAAGTATTGTGTGATGAACATAGTGCTTTTCCAGTGTCTGGGTGTTTATATACGTATAATAGGTATTTATTTACAAAAGAAAATTATGTTTCAATATATCTATCAGTTTTCTAGCATCCATAGTACAAGCGTTGCTTAGTTTGCGACTAGAACGTTGTAAAAATGTGTCCGAAATTTTATAATTGATTTTCAGGTGTTCCCTTCGTATCACCGGAGTCCAAGATCCAATACCAATGAAATTAATATGGGACCATATTGGAAGCACCAGCTTTCAAATAAAAAAAAAAAGAATCATCAAAGTTGGTTCACTCAGTGAAAAGTTCTGAGGTAACAAAAAAAAAAAAAAAAAAAAAAAAAAATACAGTCGAATTGACAACCTCCTCCGTTTTTGAAGTCGGTTGGAAACGAACCTGCGGAAACGACTTTTGTCTTTATAAGGTAATACTCTGCTACCGACAATAATTAGCCTGAAATATTATTTATCAAGCCCACTGAGGAGAAATCTGAGACAATAATGTACAGTAATAATACCTCGGCTTGTGCCCCGACTTATGAGAATCTGGCCTGACTCCATTTTCTAATCTCGTCTTTGTCTGACGTTGAGGAATAATTAATGAAGTCATTGAAATAAATAGGCAAAAGTAGTGTAACTGGATGAGTATATAAGAGCTGGTATTGGATTCCTTTAATGTTAATTTAATAATTTAGGTTTGGATTTTATTAAATTTTTAATTCTTTAGTCAATAACTTGTTAATTGTTCGTAAAACGATATCCGAAATTGTATGCTGGAATTCAAATGCTAAAGAACAATGTAGATAAAAGACGTTAAGATTTTCGTCGCTGTGGCAATCGGCCGTTTAGCTTATTCGCTAAAGCGTCACGCCGCGAATTGTGAAAACGTGGTTTCGATTCCCACAGCGGCGGCAGTCTTATCGTACTATTTCTACCAATTTTTTTATCTTAAGTGCAGAGATTAGCACTATTAAAAAAATTAAATTGTTAATAGTTTTTTATCTTTATATTATTAGTGAATGTTGTGTTTAGTTGTAAGTGGGTTAGAGATTTGTTTATTATGTGTTCTCTGAATGACTTATTTGTGTATGTTTTAGTTTGTGGCTTGTTACTAACCTTTATGTGAAATAAAATAAGAAATTGAAGCACTTGAATATCAAGACACAATTCAATTAAAAGATCGAATGGCTATTGGGAATGTCTCCGAAGACCTTTCAAAATTAAATTCTATTATATATATATATTTCAAATTTTAATTGAAAAGGAGTTACAAGTTTTAATTCCAATTTGGCAGAATTAAGGAAGAGTTTGGTAATAATTATTGAAATAAGCTATTGATGATTGGTAGATGTATTTTATCTTTATTTTTTTTTCTTTTAAAAAAACACTGCGCTTACTTTAGGATAATATTATCCTGTGTTGTAAAGGACGTTTTACAAACATAAATTTCACGCGGACAAACACCCAGATGCGAAACAACTATCTGTGGATCACACAAATAGTTGTCCCGTGTGGGAATCGAACCCACAACCCCCGACGGCGAAGCCAATACCTTGGCAACTGCGCCACGGAGTCATCAAATT